TCTCCTGTAGGAAATCCTTCAAGGCAACTGCTCCCAGAACAGTGAAAGGAATGGAAACTGGAACATCAGCCATATCTCATTTCAAAAGGTGAGCAGTCATGCAGTGAGGATTTGATCACTTTTGCTTTATAGTCAATAGAATGATCTAAAACTGTGCTTAGGCACTAAACAACCATTTCCAGTTCAGAGAGCAGGCCATAATGGAAATCATTTGAATTACCTACAGGTGCCGAATGGGAGCTTTTGTAGGGTCTGGATGTGTGGTTGTGGTATTGCAGGCAGTGCAGCAAATTGCCAGGTGCCAGCTGAGCCACAGTTACCCTGGAGGCTGTGTCCTTCCCTTTCCCATAGAAAATGTAAGGAAAAAGTGAAGTATGGCTTCTTTCAGTGACGTCAGTTACACACAGGGACTGCAGATCCTGCTTTGCCTCCAGCACACCTGTTATTTCACCAGATTAACAGCTGCCTTTGTGGCTGATTCCAAAGAGCCCATCATTCAAATCAAACTCAGTTCTCTTTATGTTAATGGTGTTTTATTTCAAAATATATTAACCATTCTGTGCTTACAAAGGACTGCAATGTGAATACAATATCAAGTTAAAAGCCTCTTAAACCTGCTACAAAACTGATTTTTATGAGGATGAGGACTGGTGCATACAATCAAAATTATTTACTTTAAATACCTCTGCAGTCTACACAAGTAGTTCTCAACCTTAACTTACACATTTTATTGGGCCACAGATGGACAGAGGAGTTATACTGTATTATACATGCAAAACCAGGTACTGTACCAAACCCAATTATGATAACATCAGTTTTGAACACAGTTCCATTCTGAAGATGCATCACATGTACAGACAAAATTTGTGTCAACAGACAATAGAAGTTATTGCTCCAAATCCCCCAGGGGGCCTGGTAGGAACACACACTTTAGAACAACCCGTGCTCTGTAATGCAAAACACCTGCTGTTAGGTTTGAGTAGGGTGTAGCCAGACTTAAGATAGGATGTCAAAAGTTTCTTTGGATTTGGTTTGGTGAAATTTCCCAAGGGAAAAAAAAAAACTCCTCTTTTGACCAAAACATCAAACGCTAGCTAGCAGATATATATATATATATATATATATATCACAGCACCTAACTACTGATACAAAAAGTTGGTTTCCAACCATCCAGCCATCACTGAAGCACAGAAAATATGTTTTTAAGGGCAACAATGTGAACAAACTGAATGCTTGACAAATATACTCATGATGACAAATGACAAGCTGAAAACATTGATCTACACAGACAGTAGGTTATTAACACAGAAGTAGTTTTTATTGATACTTCAGAAAGATTCAGGTTTAGGCTGAGACTGGAAGGAAGATTAGCAAATACTGGGATTTTGTTTTTTCAACCTTACGGTCTAGATGTCAGTTCTTAAGCCTAATGAACTTTTGTAGCATGGCTACTTTTTGGTTTTGTGATGTTTCTTACATCTAATCTACATGAATACCATGAAACATTTCTTTAATAAACTTCTTTATTTATTTATTCTTTAAACTTATTTATTCTAATAAACTTCTTTAAGTTTATGTCTCATTGGATCACTGTACACAACACTGTAGTGGGTAAAATGTGAGGCTATGAGAAGAAATCAACTTTTTACTTTAAATACATAGCTCTAAAAATTCTTTATATAGACATGTATATATATATATAGTGCTCTAGCATATATATATATATATATGCTAGAGCACTCACTCTTGCTTTATTAGCTTGCAGATTGACCCTACTGCAAGCAAATCTGCCCTGCTTCTCACTCAAACCTGGCTTTGGTGCCACCAAATAGTATTTATATTAAAAAATTAATCTTCAATTCAATGCAACATGTATTATATTTGTCCAAGTCCATCCATATGCACAGCAGATCAAGGATGCATTTACTTTCAATTAGCATTTCCTTCCTGAAATGGTCATACTATTTCAGTATGGACATTCAAAGCATGCCTCCAGGTCCTGGAATCAATTCCCAAAAGGGGATGGAAGCAATACTCTCATGTACTAGACCATATTCCAGACAAGATACCAGAGGAGGTGTGGATGAGTTTAGGAGTCTGGGGAACTGAAGATGTCTTTCATGACCTATTAATTTTGGCAGCTTTTCAGAGGATGTGTGCAAATACTTCCAGGAACAGCAATCTCTCAGCAATGCATTACTAGCAGCTTTCCCCTACTTTACATGAACTACAATGAAACAGTGGTGGTCACACTACCAGGATTTGCCTGTCTCTTCCCAATCTGTATCAAGTAAACATGAATTGTAGAAAATGTTGCTTGTTTTCATTATATACAGGCACTGTTTTGTTCTCAGGTGTCTCAACAAAAAAAAAGAAGAGAAGACAAAATTTCAGTGAAAATCTGAATAGAACGGAGACTCCCAATATTTATGTGACACAGCATATCAATATATACATTTACAAACCCAATGTAGAATCCCTGAATATGTTTATGACTTCTGGCATTGTTTCTTGTTTAAAAACATCAAATTAATTTTCCACATAGTTTTTTTTTTTCTTATTTCCAATTTTATCACTTAAAAGCAATATTGGAAAATTTTACCATAAAGCATTAAAAAAGTATAGAAAATAGTACTAAGAAGAAACTCTGTGAAATACAAGTCAACAGAGAGTTTCTAAAGATGATGCATCCATGGATTTAAGAGATGTCAGCTAGCACTCAATAACGATTATCTGGCAAATCAATTTTCTGTTGTAAAATTGCAAATTCAAGGTAAGCAACTGCATCTCTAGAGGAATGATGCTACCTCTGCTATTAAACATAATGAACGCTACCTCCAATCCCAACCCCCTTCAGTACCTTCAAAGGAAATCATAGCTGTTTCCAGAGGTAGCATACATTAATCTACACTATCTACAGTGACAAATTTAAGTCAACATAATAGAAACACGATGTCTGAATAAAGGCAGTTGTGGAAACACCCACTACCAATGATGCAAATTGAATGCACTGATGGAATCTCAGTGGAATAATGGTATTTTTCCATTCTCAGTGTATCAGGTCCATAGGAAAAGTAACACTCTGTAGTATTCCTAGTACTAGGGATCAGCAGCATGGCAATTCAGCTGGTGCTTTTACTGGAGAACAATTTAATCCAGTTTTGGTTTTTCAGGCTTTCTGAAAAACAATGTTTAACATTGCAGCCATACACCTATTTCAAAAGTTATGCTTATACCCACAATGGATAACACTGGAGACAGAATCCAATTTTCCCTGAACAATGCTTTTTTCTTATTTTAATTAAACAGATTATGGATTTCCTATTCCAATAATCACTGACAAAATACACATCCAGTGTATCCTCCTCTCCTGTGTCTTTAAGAAAAGCCACACAGACCTTGAAATGAGACAAGCCTAAGTGCACCATAGATAACCTGCACACATACACAGCACTGTGCACAGAAAGATCATGTGGGTAAAAACTCCTGAAAAATGTGCATCATCTGTATTAATATAATGCTAAACTGGGTTTTTTTAAGCTGCCTTTCAAAATAAGTAATTTCTGCTCCCAGCTGGTCACAGTGCACCTGTGCTGAAAGCCACCACATAGTAGTAAGGCTGGCAGAAAGAATGTGTGCCAGATTCTTGCCCACTGCAGCTTGTTCCTTCATGGATCCAATCAAGCCAGTATCTACAGTGACCTGAAGCTAACGTGCTGGGCTGTGAACTGGCACACAGTCTGCACTGCTACAGCAGTGCTCAGCCAAGGTACAGGAAGGAAAGGCTAACTCAGACTCGAGTGCCAGAAACAGCACCAGCCCTTTGGCACTACACTAAATTGCAACAAGTCAATTGCCCAAGGAGAATGACTAAACCAGCACAGCTGAATTCCACAATACCGTAAGACCACGCTGTCCTGCACTACCACAAGCATTCCCTTCTGAACTCTAAATTACTGAACACTAAATGCACTAAATACACTTAGTAAGTACCTGCTCCTGGAATGACTGTTTACAGTAAAGCTAAGTGCAATCAACTTCTTGCCTACAAGCATTACAGAAAAGAAGGTCTCTCCTAAGAAAACCGCACTGCAGAGAGTGGTGGGGCCTTTTGGTTGGTTGGTTGGTGGTGTTGTGGGATCTTGGAGGGGGGGACTGAGTTGAGTTGGTTTTTTTGAAAGCTACAATCAATGTACTAAAAACTTATCCTACTGAACTGCTGGTTGTTTTCGCAGGTGAGGCAATATAACCATGAACTGGCACTTTTCAAGGACCAGAAGTCAAAATGACTGTTTGATTATGTTCACATTAATGTGAGACTGATCTAAACGAAACTGTTCTTACAGCTGAGTCTGCTTAGAAAATAATATGGATTGTTAAATACCCAACGACAAGGTCTTCCATTTCTGCTGGTAATTAGACACTTGCCAAACACAAAACCCAAAAAATGCAAGCATACCCTTTCATAAGGTGGTATTTTGTGGCTTTGGGGGTTATTTTTGTGGGTTTTTTGTGGGTTTTTTTTCTAAACATGGTGAAAAATCAGTGACCATTTCCTATTCCAAGGTGTTGGAAGTTTTGTTCCATATTTTTCTTTGCTTTTTGGATGTATATGTTACTGCACCATTACTGAACCATACAGTTGGTTCCTCAATCAGATACAGCACACAGCATGAGTTCCTGAAGCTACATTCACTGTGTAAGGATGTATTATGGATGGTTCTTCATGGCAAGTCTGAGCTCAATTTGGAACAGAAAGCATCAAAATGAAGCCTCATTTCAAAGGAGGACAAACTAAACAACACTCCATCAGATGTGAATTCTCTATATAAAGTGATTCCATGTTGGAAAAGGAACATTTCAAAACAGCAGAGTATCTTCTCAGGCGATTTTACTCATTTGCATTACTGAAGTTAACGGTGTCACAATCATGGTTTTAATCTTCATAGCAGAGACCCTTCTTTGACTTAAGGCAATCCGTTGAAGGGGAAGAAGACAACTTAAAACCAAACAGAATAATGCTTTTTAATGGCTCTTTAAAATTACCAAGTAGAGTACCACAGGAGTATGAAAGATTGTCTCAGAAAATGGGATAGGACATGTGGAAAATAAACATGTCTTGACCAGTGACCAAAGAGGTGTTTTAAATGCTGTCTACAAGCTACAACAAGAACACAACAATTCAGTGCAAAAGTGTGAACTAAAAAAAACAGTAATACAATAAAGAAGTTGCCTAAATATCATGGTGGTCTCATTCCAGCTGGTTAGAAAGTTGCAGGAGTATTTTAGGAAAGCCTCAGGTTTTCCCACATCCTCCACCCTCGCCAGCAACAATCATAAAAATGTGTTTCATTTAAGCATTTTTGTAAGCTAAAAAACCAAGAAGATAAAACAGATATGTGATTCAAGCAACACATTCTTCTTAATCAGTTAGTTGAAAGTGATGTGTAGATATCTCAGAATTTAAAATATTAAATGGGATGTTTCCTTATTTTGATAAACCTGAGTCAACCTAGTAAATTAAGCCCAAGTTTGTCCCTCAAGCACATACATGCAAGTGTGCACAAACAGCATACTCAACCCCTCTCACTTAAAACATACAATTTCATCAGTAAAATTGCAGCAGCTTATTTTGAGAATCTGAGGAGCAGACTATTTGTGTCTTGTTAGGCAGCCTGTTTATTGCGAACCTATAGCTGGACTTTATTCAGTATCAGGGTACTTTCCAATCACTTTGCAATGGCAATGTGCTTTTCAAAACAATGCAAAAATACATGCAATATCATAGAAAGAACCTTCAAATCTGTCAGCACTCCTAGAAGTCAAGTAAAACACCTCTGTTACCGCAAGCTGTTTGTGCACACATCTTAGATATCTTCATCCCTGGATAAGATCCCTTTGTTTCAAGCATTGAATTACTGCCAACAGCAAATACAAGGCGTGCCTGTATTTTGTACAACTCATTATCAATCAACCTCTGAAATCAATTCAAGTTACCAGAAACTTAATGGTGGTTCTTTGGTTAAGCAAGTGCATCTGCTACTTTGTACCTAGGGCCTCACTGGATTTGTGGAAAAGCTGTGCAAGTATGAAATATTTACCAAAAAACCCCACTTCCCATTTACAAAAAGGATCTGTTTATAAAGATCCATTGTGTCAAAATGTTTCGACAATCAATACAAAAGGCCTTAAATGTCACTAAAGCTGCATTTTAAGCAAAATTACGTATCGAAGAAAAATACTAGAGGATTTGACACTGTGACCTAGGCAATACATAATTTCAGAAATTCAGGATCTTTGTTTATTAATAAGATAAACCTTAATATATTAGCATATATCCTATATCTCAGTAAAATTACTTGGCCAGACACTTACAGGATTAAAAAGCCTCAACTAAACTAAACCAAAATCCATGCTCTCTCCCCTTTCTTTCTGGTAGTAAAATTTGTTTAAAAAGTGAATTGAACTCAGCCACAGCATTTGAAAACTAGCATTAAACAATCCCCATTAAACTTCTTCCAGTTACTGGAAGGAGATGCAACTATCCTATATTACTACTTTCTGAAAACACTTAAGGCCTTTGATTAAATTTAGTTGACAAGATGACTCCACTGGGAGGGTGGACAAACAGCAAAATATTATCAGATTTCGCTGCACATGGGGGCAAGATTTAAACTATTTAAACAAGTCCTCGTATGTCAGTAAGAGGAAAACCCACATTTAATAGTTTCCATTTCTATTAATATCAGGAAGGTATTAAAAATACCAGTCTCCAACAACATTAAATTTCAGTGCATGTAAAAGAATAATATTTAAGTGTTATTATGAGTTACAGATGATGGTTGAAGCTTATAAAGAAACACATTGAGGGGGTGCAAACTATTATACTTTCATTTCACAATGAGTGGTTTGCCCTTCTTTGCCACCAGATTGCCTAATAATAAATATTTTGGAAGTACAGCTTTCTTTAAAGCTACTACAGTTTAATAAGACAAATAACCCAGTAAATAAAAGCCAAGTTAGTAATTTCAGCAGATAATAACTCCAGTGGATGTACCTGTCCTCTTAACTATTCTTTTGATAAGACAGAAGGTCTTCAAAGTCTTCAACAAGGCAGCTGACTGTGTGTTGGTATGCAAAGCCATGGGAAGTAGACACACTCTCTCGATGAAGCAAAGTGCACAATAATGCAACACCAGCAGATGTTCTAGTGCTTTCTCCTAAAACCCAGTCTATGCTTCCCTGTGAGCTGCCCCCAGGCACAGCTGGGAAGGGACAGAAGGCCATGGCTGTTGTGAACCCAAGACAGAAGACAGATTCCCTCATGTTGCAGAGGTGCATCCCAGCACCTCCATCACTCTGCAGACATTTTCATTTCCTCGGGACTCTCTCTAGGTGACCTGGGAGGTGCAGGGACGAAAAGAAAAGTGAAAAGTAAGACATGAATCTGCACAGTGATTCCAAACAATTGTTTCCTATAATAAAGGAGAACCAAACACACATGAAGATTTTTTTATGTTCTTGGAAGCTCTATCTGTGTCATACAAGGGTAACTGGAATGTAACTTTTAAAAGCCAGAGACTACAGACAGGTCCAATTAGCATTTTTTCTCCTAAATTACCCAGATGAAAGAAGACAGCACTATTCATGTGAATAAGACAAAGAATTATTTCTGACAAGCAGAGAATCTTCTTCAAGATATATGTATAATGAGCTAACCTATATAGTTTAACAAGGCAGTAGAAACATTAAAATAGCTACTGTTGTTAATATTGTCATAATGTGATTTACAATTCTAAGTCTTTATTCAATTACGAGTTTATTCCTAACTATATTATTATCCCATTTCTAACTGTACAGTTTAAAGATACATTTCTATATTCCATAATTTCATAACTTCAATAATGACATTACGAAGGACCATACTTTTAAAGGAAAAATGGCATAAATGATACCACATTTTTTAAAATCTAGATATGTTTATATTTTGCAGTATTGTACATTAAGACATAAAAATGAAGTATTTTGGGCCAGGCCCCTTTTTAAGGGCAATGAACCCACAATACCCAGATAACCATGAATAAGAGTTCAAAAATTATGTTAAATCATCTCCTAGCACAACAGCAACATGTAAGTTATAGGACAGAAGGGATATTAGCAGCAAATTTTCTAAAGGAGCCTTCTGTAAGAGGCTGAGACATTAAGCAAATTCCAGGTTTTTTTTTTGTTCCACTGGAACAAAAATGTTCCAGTGAGTCTTTACTCAGCCATACTTTTTCTTTCTATAATATGGAACAGCTGAATCCTCTTCCAATATTACAACAGTCATGCAGATGTGAGTGCACACTCTCATAAAACCTAGGCACACATTCCCTACACCCGTGCATGTGTACACTGATGTGTGTGAAAACATAATTCATACAAGTAAGACATTTAGAGCTCACCGGTAAATCTGCAAAGGCCACGTTGCTTGTGATGGAGTGGGCACAGAATTTGTTGGACTCACCAACATGGCACTATATATATTAGAAGCAACCACAAGTATACAAAGTAGAATTGGTCCTATGATGGCCCCTTCCAGTCCCAAATAATACGCTCCACCAGCTACTGCAAGGCCTGTTAGGTAAGGGTGACCACCTCTGCCACAAGAACAATAAAATTAAATTAAGAACAACAAAAACACAGCATTATCGATTACAAAATGTGAATTAATACTGAAGTTTTATTAAGCTTAGGAAATGACACAGCTAGCTATAGCTACTCATATTTACACTATAAACTGCTGTCTGAATGACTGCACAAAGGTTCCAAGCTGTGTTCTGCTGTGTTTGCGCAACAGACCAAACACTGTTGTAGCATGGAATGCTGGGAAGATCCACAGTGGAGTAGTTACTTTACAAACATCTGCTGAAGAATGTCTGAAGGACTTAGTGGCAAACACACTTCCATTTTGAGAATGGAAAGATGGTTGGTTAAACAGACTGTTCATGCTTTATTGTCAAGAACTGTTGAAATTTAACACAATTAGCAACATGCACTATGAGGACCCCCGAGCAAAGCCATTCAGTTACATGATGATAGCAGCTTGCAGAGCATCTTTCAAATAACAGTTAGCATGCAGTCTTAAAGGCTTAAAGACGTGGATATCCATGTCTTCTCATTTTGTTATAAAAAAGCCTCTCAGATTGAGTGTTATCATTAGCTTTTAACCTTCTCAGATGAAAAACAAGTCTGGATTTTAATGAACATATTAATATTTACTGGAAAGTTTGAGCCAGAAGAGCTTATTGATAAGAGCTCTTATGGCAGCAAGTAAAAAATGCCATTTTTATTTTCTGTGTCTCAGATGCACATTTTGCACCTGTGCTCAGCTGCAAAATGTGAATCCTACCAACAGCATTTACACAAAACCTGCTCATCATTCTTCATCCTTCATACCTAAAATAATGATGGCAATATAGAATTGCAGAAGAAAAACTACAGCTGAAACTTGGCATGCAATTCTCAGGAAGCTCCTCTAAATTCTGAGTATAATACATAGAAAATACCAGCTAGTCAGTTCAGAGCTCCAGCAGTTCCTGAGTTTTCTACCATGGTCCTAATTTCCACTCAACCTCCCAAATTGTAAATCTTTGCCTTCAACACAACTGTATGCAAAATGAGGCCATGAAACATGACCTATTAAATCATACACACCTCAGTCATGTCCTACCCAGATCAAACTTAACCTACTGGCAGGACCAGATTGCTCTCCCATGGGGACAAGCGTGGTGTAAAGTTTTATGTTTCTCTAACAATATAAATTATTAATCTATAAACCTTTAAAAAAATTCATTTTTTCCCAGGATTTGCATCCCCTTTAACATTCTTTTGCCTAGTTTTCTAAATTAAACAACAGATCACCTGATGAAATAGGACTACAGTACAAAGGTAATCCTTTTAGAAAACCCTGCATAACCTAATTATAGCTATTTCAAATAGGTTTAATCTGATCTGCAAGACATCATGATGCTTACTGTTCAATTTATTGGGAAGAATACAATTTTCCTCCACTGTCAGAAAATCAATTCCTCTCCCATATATTTTCTGGACAGTAAACAGAATTTGTATCCTCTACAGTTCAAAAAACTGTATTCTAGGAAGCAGAAGAATTATTAGCTATTTAAATAGCTCCTAGTCTTAAATTTATCTGTAATTTATTGTTGGAAAAAAAAGGTAATTTGATTGTACTTCACCTGTTAGCTTTAATTAATGCAAAATAACTAAAGCCAGCCTATGAAAACTAGTATTAATTGGGTATATTATCATATCATACTCTGTTCAGTGTAATTATATTTAGTAAACAAAAATACTAATTTCTAATAACACAGAACTGAACCACTTTATGTTCTTATTCTACATTAACTCTATTTTTTTTGGTCTCTAAATAGCTGATGGTTTTATCTGCTTTGCAGCATCATCTGGTATTAGGAGATAAAAAGGAAATGCAACACACCTTTACTCAATAATTAGATAAATAGAAAATATAAACTAATTCTAACAATCCCAATAAAGAGTTCATTTTGCTGATGTTGAGCTCAAGACCTCTGAAGTGTCAAAGTTCACAGAAAAGAGGCCTGAGAAAAAGAAGGCACTTAGGCCAGAAAAACTGCTTACTATGAGGTTATTCCTGTGATTGAAGATACTGTTTTGCATGCTTCAGAAAAATGAGTTTAATTAAAGGCATCAGTGATTGTCAATCATTTTTACAATGCTTATTTTAAGAAGTGTTCAATGTACTTACCCTGATATATCTGAATAAATTGCTGTATCTACAAAATAGGTTGGCAAGAGGTGAAAAACCAAGAGCAAAAGGGCTTTGCATCCCTGTCCTTGCACAAGCCACAAATCTAGGACTGCAGGGATTGCTGCCCAGTATGTCCCCAGAAATGGCACTGCTCCAAGGATTGCTGCTAATGCTAGAGCACACAGAAGCAGAAGTGAAAAAAAAAGATCACAGCAACATATTTCACAAATATATTTACAGTTACATTCTGACACTTTTGCCACACCAGTGAGTCCCACTTCCATCAACTGTTATAAATAAAGCATTGAAGAAGTGCCACATGAGGCTCCTGGTGTTTTATAGCTGTGGTTTAGGAAAAAAGAAAATTCCACCATTCCCCGTACAGAAGAGCTTCAGCAACTGACAGTCATAAGGAGTTAAGAGGCATCAGTTTAAGGAAACTTGAAGTTATACCAATCATGTACACTTCTTACTGTGTAAGAAAGCAAACAAACCCAAGTGTCACTCTAACTTACTGCATCTCCTGCAGTCAATCCATAAGAGTGAGAAAGTAGGCAAATATGAGATTTATGACTTACATATTTCTGTATGCAAACTTGTGTACACATTTGCATACCCTTCTGCTTATAAGAAAGACCTGTTGGAATCTAAAGCAGTACAGATCTGCTGCCACTATAATTCAATGCACCAGGAATAAAAATAATATGAAGCATAATTAAGTGGGTTATTTTCTTTTTTTTTTTTTTTTAATTTTTCCATTGGTCTCATTAACCAGAAAGGAAAAACTTTTAAGATTTTGCATGTTGTGGAAAAAAATAAGACTGCCTATAGAGGTATAGTGACAATCAATGCCTTTAATGTAGTTGCACTTTACAATACAGCCATTTCCCATTATACTGGGGTTTGTTGCTTCATAGCTTCCCCTTATGCTTTCTTGTACACAAACATTTTGCATTTACTATTATTATCATACTTTTTAGAGAAGGAAGGGCTAAGAGGAACAGGGGAGAAGGTTTTTCTCTGAGAAACTGTCCAGCCATTTCCAAAACTAAGATTAAATAATAAAAGAAAACCAGAGGCTGGTAATACAGTCACACAATGATACTGAGCATAAGAACTGTTCCTCTATCATGCATTTCCATGATACCACATCTCACTGCATTTAGGACGAAAAATCAGTATGTGTCAACTGTGAAAGAAACAGAAGCTAAGACAGGAGAATAAAGTTAAAAACTGAAAACACTTGGACTGAATACAAGGGAGAAAGAATTGGATCCAGCAAACAAAACAGAAATAAACAGAAATAAGAGGTAAAATTGCTGGCAGAGAATGTGTTGTGAAAACAGAAAAAGGCAAGGCTCAGAAGTAAGACAGCAATCAGGGCCTTCTCTCTGCCCTTTCCACAGCCATATTCTGCAAGACCAGATCTAAGCTTGTCAGCAACACTTAATATTTCTCATTTTGTACAATCAATAATTACATAGTATTATTTATAATTGCTCAAATTCTTACCAGATGGTATGAAGACTATGTTAATCCCAAATATAGTGTGAGTCAGCCAAGTGTAGAGTCCATAGAACCCAGCCATTTTGAGGGAAGCATCAAACACACCTCTAAAATGATCAAAGAAACTCTGTTAATTTTTATTAGCAAGAGGATTCAAGAATATGAAAATACACAGAGGTTGCTTTGAATAACAAATAACACATCTCAAAATGTAATACTGAATCCTTTATACATCTGTTCCCTCTGAGAAGAATAAATATTCACCACATATGTAATTAAGAGCATTTAGACACAGAAAACAATGGGTTTTTTCCTTGGGAAAATTTATCCAGGGATAAATTCCTTGAAAGAGACTGCTCAATATCAGACTAATTCTCAATCAAAAAAAACCTTTCTTTTCTATGAGAAACAGTACCATTCTACACATGAATTACTTTATTTTTCCTCTTTTCCAGTTCTAGGCGTTCATTCATTTTCTTTATCTGCTTACATTTCTCTGCCTGCTCTTTTTCACAGGATTCCCCCCAGCTTTTAGATTGCTTACTAGGCTACATTACTAGAAACTAAATAATAAAACTGGTAACCCAATTCAATCCTGGTGGATCTATATCCAGAGTTCTCCTCTCTTAAGTGTGACCACAGCTTCATGAGACAGCAAGCAGGCAGCTAAGTTCCGTGATATTTTTACAGCACTAGGGCAGGTACACACGTGGAATATCCTGTAACTGAACTGCAAACCCATGCCTTAGGTCTACAGTCACAAAAAACATAATCTCAAATTGCTAAATCTCATTAATGTGTTATGTCAGTTTTTCACCCATATTCAAGAAATGCAGTTTCCTAAAATCACTATTTCAGCTTGAATCCAAGTAACCAAGACCCACAACTCAATTCTAACAGCTACATCATTGCAGAACCGGTGGCACAAACACCCGTTCAGCACAGATAAACATGAAGTTTCCTGATGTTAAGTTATAACTCTTGGTGTTTGTGACTTTGCAGTTTTGGGAACTCTGGCAGCAGGGCAAAGAGGACAGGAAAACATACAACAGGAATCTTTGAAGGGCATAGAAAACCAGCCCTTTCTGATCTAAGGTCTTTAGCAGCACAGTTTCCTTCCTCCATTGAGTCCATAAAACCTTGCAGCAAAGAAACCTTCTGTGATATTAAACTACTAGGTAGAATCTCTTATCAGCTACCAAAAAGAATGCCCAGATTTTCAGTTTTTGCTTCTTTGGCCACTATCTTCATTATTACTTCTGTAGGCAGTGTCAATATTTTTGCCCTTGTTTCCTACCTAAGGCCTCACTTTTAGATTTCTACATGACTTCAGAATCAAAATTATCTTATTTGAAATTCATTCACTGGAAGCTATGAGTGCATAATAAACCCTACAAATCAACCCTACTGTTCAAAATGCAAGATTCTCTTAAGAGACTAACCAGAAACAACTGTTAGCCATTTTCCCCTCCAAAAGAGGGAATGAGAAAATAAAGAAAAAAAGCAAGCTTTAAAGAATAACCTGAAGTAACAAGTCTAATCTTTGACAAGAAATAATCACATGGCGCAAAAAGAAAGGCAGGGAGCATTTACAAATATGTGGTGGCCTCAGTAAAAGAAGGCCTCAATCCTTCTCAGTTCTGATGAACTTTTATTATATTAAAAGGAAAGTCAGCTCAAAAATTCTAAAATCTATGAATTTTGAAAACACTTTTGAATTTTGACATACTCACTTCTACTTGAGCTATAAGAAAAGATGTTTCAGACATAAAAAACAATTTGGCAAGGAGGCAAGAAAATCCCAAAACCCAAGGCCACAGTAACAATGCTAAAGGTGAGTTTGCCTTAAAAATTCTAAATACTCTCATTTTTTAGCTGCTCAGTCTTAATTTTCTGCATTTTTTGTGACATTTAATTAATATCTACTCTTTCTGAGGATATCATAGGGGCATAACATCCTTCTAAGAAGGTGTGCAGTAATCTTCCAGCAAATATTTTTCTCATCTAAGGACCTGTGACACAAATAAATCACAGTTGTCAAAAATATTTTGTAACAATCCTTGAGTATCTCCTTATTTTTCCCAAAAAGATGTTTTCTGTACTGTAGTAAAATTAACACGGTCTTAACAATTTCTATATGCATGTTCCAAAACTACATTTCAGTGTACAAGAGGTGAGACAGGCCTCCAGCTTGTGAAAAGTACCTGAAGTATCATCTTCACTTGAAATTCAAATATCCATTTACAAGCAATCCTTTTAGATTTTCCCAGAGAGACTAAAAGAAGGGAAGACAGTGCTACTACGGTAACCAAAAGAGAGACATCAACCCAGGGGTAAAAAAGCATTGAAGGTGTCTATAAAACAAGTTGCTTTCTTAGTCTCAGTTCAAGGACTTGGCAGTCAGATGCACTGGTAGAACAACAGAAAAATAGTCCAGGACTAAGAGGTAGTCCTGGCTTGATGGAATTCTGCAAGCTGACATAATATATTTCCATGGCCAAACCGTGCATACCTCTGACAGACTGTAGAACAGTACAGCATCTCTCTGGCTTTATGCTTCTAATACAACTAATACAATTTAGAGGAGAAATCATCACACAGTGCTGGGATGTTGGGAAGCGCCAGTAGTCAAGCAGGAAAGCGAGAGAGGCTGCAGCTAGTCTCATTCTCCTCCTCTCCTTCCCCTTTGTTTGTGTCTGCCTCTACTGAAGTCATAAAACGTCCTAATAAAGGCACAGGGGATACTACTTTGTGGCAAGTATGGACCAGGAGAACTTTAATCTCTCTGAAAAGTCATATTTGTTACTTTCTGGTAACTGTCACAAAAACTAAAAATTGTATGTTGAAGTCTGAAAATTCATATCTATTTTGCTTCATGGTTAAGGCAGCAAAAAAAAAAAAATTCTAACCAGAATCTTATCAGCAATTTGCTTCAGCTACTCTGCACCTGAGATACCAGAGCTTAAAGATGATGTGAGTGTGCTAATGCCAGTGCTGCATGAATTTATTACCATCTGTAAAATGCAGACCTTCCTGGGGTAATTATGACAGTAAGTAAGTTTCATCTCTTAATACATTATTGGCACACATACAGCTTCCTTTAATATACAAGAGTAATTGTATAATTCAGAAATCAGAAAATCCAATTGCTGCTCACGTCTCACTTTGGCACTGTATCTGGATGAACCACTTTACCTGCAAGAGCTGTCATCTGCAAATGTGTAATTTATGAGCACTTCATGCCAATTTGGCATAAAGCATACTCAGACATACATATTCCATTTTACTGAGCTTTGAAAAGCATGTAAAATTAAAAAAAAAAATAATCAGAGGACAAGGGTCATGATTCACATTATTCAGATTAAAAATGAAGAAACTTCTGTGAAATGCTTCTGCACAGCTGGCCTACTTTTTTTTTTCTCTGGGTAAAAGTTCCTTTGACTAATTTCTGTCCCTAAGCTAGGGAATTTGCTTGTAGACTCCACAAGGGAAAGGGCCACCTTTTCAATTTACAGGTTTTGTAGATTTTTTTTCTCTTTTACTGATTGGCCATAAAAAGTCTAGAGCTTTCCTTTTATTACAACTGCAGTTTATATCAAATGTATGTGCACCTGAATTCAGGTTCTCTTCACAAAGCCTGCAGGTAAAGTCTGTTCACTGTTATTGACACAATGAGATTTCAAAAATTTCAACCCAATGCTGCCGCAACCCCAGCTGAAAAGAGCCCTTCAGCTCAGATCATGGATTTTTTGACCTTGGAGTTAATTTGATTTTCTAGATCTCTCTGTTCCCAGAACACTGGAGGAAAGGAGAGCATATGGGCTGAAATAATGAGAATTTGAGTTACCAGAAAGATTAGAGTAAGCATATTATAAGTTCAGAAGAGGGATTTTCTGGTTATTATACTAAATTTATATTAACAGGCATATGAACCCTGGCTTGCGAATGGGCATAAGAGTATAAGCTAGACAGAAGTGATATTCATGTTTGAAAAAGTTTGCAAGAAATAGTGTTTCTCTAAATTCCTTACAAAACACTTTATAATCCATACAACAGTTTACAATCCAATTAAAATGCAAGTTTGGTAACAGGAACACCCTCAATCAAAAATACTGTTAGAATAAGATCTCACATCTTCCTCATACCACTGATTGGTATTTTCCCATATTCTCCAAGTAGACACTAGAAGGATTGTACTACATCTTTGTTGTAAACCTTTCTGTATAGAGAAGTAATTCAAAACTATGCCTTAAGAGACCTCAGCTATTCAGTTTCTTGTGAGAATATAACCATTATATTTTAAAAGGGAGTTCAAAGTGTAAGTGAAATGCATTCAAAACTTCACAGCACGGTTTCACAATTTATCTTCAGATCAGGTTATCTCAGAAGTGTCCCAGGAAAGGAGCCTTCCCCATTCCCCTGTTCCAAAGATTCACTTCTGTCTCAGATGACTCTTCCTCTATCTACTTACCAGCACAGTCTTCATTATGTGCCATGACACTTTCTACAATGAATTCAGCTTTTTCATTTTTACAATGAATTCATGACAATGGTTACATGATGGGTTAGTTTTAACAAAAAAGCTCAGGTCTCCACTCAGACAACTCATAAGTGGTGGCTTAAATGGTTGCATTCCCACCAGGAAAGAAACCAGTACATTCATGGCTGGAAAGCAAGAACACAGTGCTGTCTTACTCCAGCTGAAATTAACACTCACTGTCACCATAACTTCAAAGAACTCTTGGTAGTGTGTGAAGGACTTTCTCTCTTCACACACCACCAAGATCTGTTGCAAAAGAAAAGTTACCAATGACAGCCATTATCTTTAGAAAGACCAACTTATTCTTCTACAATGATGTCCCAAATTTCAAGTGATCACCAGGTGAACACTGGAGAATGGAATTACTCAAAGAAGTCCTTTTGAAAAAAACCTCTTAAGCTGTTCTTTGACTCTCTTTAAGGGCTCTGTTCTTTTAGGAATAAAAAATGACCCTCTTTATATTTCAGTTTCATTTAACATGAAAGCAAGCTAAGTGCACTAAGACAGATTCCAGCTATGAATAAAGCAGAAGTGGCAGGAAGTGTTTCTTGACAGAGTAAGATCATC